TGCCATCCCATAGGAGAATGCAAAGATGAATCAAACACAGATCATTCCACCAGAAAATGAATGGCATCGAAGGGTACATGAAATAGGTTTTGTTAGACTCTCCCTTTTATCTAGTCTTATATCTTACATTAGGCTCAATGCTCCTTGGTGAAAGCAAATGTCAGGAAAAATGGTTAAGCAGATAGGGTGGCGTATCTTCCCAGAACTCAGGGAAAAACCTGCCACACCAGTAGAATAAATTCTAGCTTGGGGTTTTGTTCCATGAAGCTAGAACCTAAGCTTCCTGAAGGTGATGTCTTTATCTGTTCTGCTCCCCACTGTATTCCTTTAGCTGTCCTAGCATGTAGTAGTAATTCAATAAATATTGGATCACTCAGTGACTCCAAATAGGATAGTTAAAAGCAACAGGAAGAAACAGTGTCTAAAATCATATTATGGTAGAGTCAACAGATATGCAACATTTAAACAGTTGCCAAGTTATATGCTAAGATTCTATTAATTTAAAACCCAAGTCCATCTCTTTGTAATCTTAGCCATTTTCCTCTGCCATAGCCACATGCAAATTTCTCACCCATACTTCCTCCAGTGTAGAGCTACCTACATTGCCTTTGAACTTGATTGGCATATTGTTTTTCTCCTTATAATATATTAAAAAGTGGTGTGTGTGCAACTCTGTACCTGTTAAACATTCTGGTCAAACTCCAACTGTGTTATGGGTGTTTCTGGTTCCAAGAAAGCAAACTCAATTCCCTAACTCATATTTCCTCCATGTCTTTTGAGAATTCATTTATTTAGAATATTCTATTTCTACTAACTAAAGTTAATTTACCTCCCTCATCCAAACTAACAGATTTACTATTTCATCAATCCTACCCAATGTTTATATCAACAACTGTAACATAATGTAGAAAACATGCATGCACTGAGAGAGTTTTAGATACAATAGTAGAGGGGTTTCAAATGTGGGGGAATATTCAAGGTGAGCCTGGAATTAAGGGAAGATTTATATACCTAGGATTATGGGGAAGGGCATTCCAGACAAATACAACAGTGTGAACACAAGTAGAGCCACAGAAGAAAATACAGTTCAGCTTTATTGATAGGTGGTGGGTGCATGTGGGAGCACTGAAAAATAAGACCATGGAAGGCCTGGTTTACTTCATAAGCAGGTGGATTGTTCTGAAGTATTTTGACCAAAGATCTTGGATGATTACAACTGAGTAAAGCTGACGTGACAGCAATGACAGCTAATAGACACTGTAGCAAGGGAGGCCAGCGAGAAAAAAGTTGTTGCCAACAGTTGAGTTGAAATGTCATGAGAACTTAAATAAAGGCAGCAGTAGCAAAAAGAAAGTTACAAGATTTGATCTAAGAAAGAGGTGACAGAAACCTGCAACTGGTTTGAGAAGAGATGGGTGGATAATGATGCGAGGTTTCTAAAGCTGAGCGAGTAAGAGCTATGAGTAAGAAAATGGAGGAGGAGCAGATTTAGAAAAAATACAGATGAGCTATATGAGCCAGGATAGAGCTTTGGAAACTGTGCACGTTATGGAATGGTTGAGACAACAGTCTGAGAATACATAATCAGGCAGGTAAAAAGCAGTCAAATTGTAATACAGTGTCACGAGAGACAAGGAAGGAGAAAGTTTTAATAAAAATAAGTATTACGTATTATGGAGATTTACAGGCATATGAACACTGATGAAAGATTTGCTAACCAGGTCTAAAAACCTTTGAAAGAAAAAAAAAAACCCAGTAAAATAAAGAGCCATTTAAGTAATTTCAAGGAGTTAGAAATTGTGTATAGAAGGATAAGAAACTGTAAAAATATGAGATACCATATAACTTTAATCAAGCAGTTTGCTAATAAATAAATTATATTGCTTGTACCTGACAATACAAAGCTATGGACATAAACATAATGTTAAAAATAAGCCCCTTTACACCCAGGATATAATGCTGTAAACAAAATGAGGTGTCATATCTAAAAGCAGGATTTAAGTAGCAAATACTTTTGAAAAGGGGGCACCATGTGAATAGAAGAAAGGATTTTAAAGACATGATTTTAAGGACAATGGTTTTGTAGAAAGCTATTTTGTTGACCTCACCCTTTATTTACTTCCTTCCACCCATCACATCTGATAGTGTTTGGGAGTAGCTAAAACTAGATCACGTGGAAAAGAACACCATGAACCAACAGTCATATATTTACCTCTCAGAAAGCAGAGTAGGTTTTGTGTGTATGTGTGTTGTGGGGAGATGGTACAGATGGATAGAGATGATAGAGATAGAGATAGAGACAGAGACAGAGACAGAGATAGGAAACTGAAAATCAACTATACCCCCACAGACAATAGGGCAGGGAATGCAGGTGTGTTTCCCATAAAGTAGATAGATATGGGTCCATCAGAAAAGAGATTTGACCTAAGGTCATTTTATGTTCTGCACAAGTGGTTTTTCTAGTCAGATGACCAAGACAATATTAACATTCCCCTCAGTTTGACTGGACTTTAGACAGTCTTCCTCCTAACTCTAGGCCCCTGACCTCACTTTTTTCAAGCATTTACTTTAGAAAACTTTCTATTGTAAATATTCTTTACCCCTCTCCCCTCCCCATCCCCCACCCTGTTCCCACAGATGTAAATCTTTTTAAAAGCTTCTTGTCCGTTTTATAGCACGGGAATGTCTCCCTCCAGGACCTAGACCCATCTTTTTCAAATGTAATCATTAAGAAAGATAGTGGCCCTACGGTCCAGTCTCTGTGGGAGGGTAGGAGCCTAACTTCAATGGGTGCCTTGCTTCAAGTTGTAAACTACCTCCTTGTAATGAAGACATGAGAAGGCTTAGGTTTTGGGGGTAAGGCCAATTAGCAAAACAGGTAGTCTATGGTCTCCTCATCTCAGGTCTTAAACTTAAAACTCCACCACCATTTGTTTCAGAGGAGTTGAGCAAAGACTGAATTCTGGCCTCTCTCCACTGTTGCATTTGCCTTGAATAAAGTCTTCCTTTCCTGTTTAACTTTGTCCACTGCAACTTTTTCTTTGACACAGGAAAGTAGCTGTCAACACAGGAATCTGTATGTAACATGAAAAATCAGAGTGAGACCAAGCTAAAAGTAACAAGCCAAAGGCAGGCTAGAGCATAAGTCCTAGGAACTGCAGTTGGCAAAGCGTTTGTAAAGAATGCACAAATCCTCATGAATCACAGGGCTGCCAACAACTAAAAATAGAGGACACTCAGTTAAATTTGAATTTCAAAAAAACAACAAATAATTTTTTAGTATATCTCATGCAATGTTTGAGACATACTTATACTAAAAAATCATCTGTTGTTTATCTAAAATTGAAATTTAACTGAGAATTTTGTATTTTAGCTGACATTCCTACCATGAAAGAAAGAGTCCATTTTAAACACCCACTATTCCTGGAGAGAATGAGGCCTGCTTACAACTGTATTAATCACCAGCTCTAACAGCTCTGCTTTACCGTATGCTTCTCTCACCTTTCTTTCTCCCATTCAAAGCTGGAAGGGTTAGAAGCAGCAGCTAGCCCGAAGGAGGTGGTAAGAAGGCAAAAAGAGCAGAAACCAGCTTCCTCCTTCCCCTCAAGGCAGAGAGCAGGTGTCAAGCACTCTACAGGCCTTGGCTGATGGAGGGGATTAGGAGAAGTCATACTGATGAAGGAAAATTTAGCGTTGATAAATTTCTTAGACTGGATATTGGGTTTTGAATCATTGTATGACTTACAAAGAAAGTATGACTGATAAGAAAACCTCCCCCATTGTGAGAGGCAAAAATTAAGTTGCAATTCCAACATCTTGTAATTTATACTTGTTCAGTGTACCAAGTCTGTAGATCTAAATATAGATATATAATAATAAAATAAATACGTTTTAAATTGTATATGCCTCAAGATTTTATGAGATTAATCATCTAAAAAATTAAGAATTCTAAAAGGATAGCTCTAAAAATTATTAATAACCTCATATATTATAGTAATACTAATAAAATATCTTATTATTGAAAAGCACTAAATATTAATAAAAAGAATGTGACAATTTTCTAAAATTTTTGTGTCATAGATTTTTTTAAACTTTTTTATTGAGGTGTAATTACATCAAATAAAATTCATCAATTTTAAGCATATAATTTGATATACAGACATTTGTACCACAGACTATTTTAAGTATCTAACGAAACTCTTATTTCACGTATTCAGGGACACAGATATTTTCATACAATTTCAGGCGTTTATTCACACTTAAACCACATCCATAAACAACAAATTAGAATTCTTGCTTTGAGGTCCGGCCGAGTGGCGCGATGGTTAAGAATTGGCTTGGGATGCCAGAGGGCCCCGGTTCGGATCCCACATATGAGGGCCAGTGACACTGCCCTTCACAGCTAAGATGCTGAACAACAGCTCAACCTGGAGCTGGGCTGCCGTGAGAGTTGCCGGCGACGGCGTAGGCTGCAGTCCCTGTGGCAGTGGGTTGCCATGGGCTACCGTGTGTAGCCAGCAGCCAGCGTGAGCGGCCAGCAGCCAGCGTGAGCGGCCAGCAGCCGCCGAGAGCAGCCGTCCAGAAGCCGGCGACTGATCTGCCTCGCCCGGGAAGAGCGCAATGATGGTGCCAACTTGGTCCAGTGAAGCAACGTCCTCCACAACTAGACTGAAGAACAAAAGGACAGCAACTTGTCTGTTCCCCTTCCCCCAATTCCCCACCGCTGTTCCCATCCCCCAAATTCCCCAATAAAAATATTAAAAAAAAAAAAGAATTCTTGCATTGAGTCTTTTCATCTGGACTAATGATTAATTATTTGAAACAATGACTTTACAAATTTATTATACTTATATATCTAAATTTCTTAAACTCAGGCCTAAATAATATTTGTAAATATCAGTTTTTATCTTTTTCAATGAATGCTATTAATGTTATGTTATTATCTACTTGATTAACAATATAATATATCAGAACATGTTAATATGACTTTTTTTTTTTAGATGCAGGTTTATTTTTTCCATCTTTCAATGGGAATTCCTATTTAGAACTGCCTTTTCTCGCAAGCATGAATGAGTTGGAGGCTGTCCTGGAGAAGAAACATAACAGAATTGTTACCATCTATTTGACTGTAAAAACAAACACTTTGAATGGAACTATTCTCTACAGTGAGTATTAAATGTTTGACCGCCTGCATATTATATTTCTTTCTCAAATGTTAACCTATTGAATCAATGAATTATTCATTTAAATATTGTGGGGAAACTTTCTAGCCTAGCTCATGAGGCATTACCAAAAGCAAATCTTGGTTCTTTCTATTTTTCTTTAGAAGTTTCTTTAATTTATGAGTCATTCAGTGCAACATGACTTACAAACAGGCTCTGAACCAGCAAGGAAGAATATAACAAGCGTATGAATTTGATGGCATATGGCTATAGCAGTAAAACATAAATGCTGCAAATGTTGCAGAGCATATTTTTATAATATAAATCACCAAGTATGAATTGCATTCAATTCTTGGTAACTTGGAAAAAGGTATTCCAAAGCTGGGATTCATTTGACAATTGGGAAAATTCCCATCACTCTTTTAGCATTATCTTAAAATTAGCTGGTCTGAAAAAAAGTAGTATTAACAGTATTTGTTTTAGGAAATGCCTTCATATCTAGGGTTCTCTACGTTATGTAATAAGCTCACAAGGATCTCTGTAACCAGAATTTACAGGCCTCTTTCTCCTATGACAGAACATCACTAAAGTATATTACTTGCAATATTCCAAATGTGACAATTTTTTTATCTCCTTTGAAATAAATGCACAATAGTTTTAATAATTTGTTATATTGGAGGTGTCATGTCTTCAGTGCTTGGATAGATTACCTAATGCAGGGCAACTTTCCTTCCCGAATGATTTTTTTCCTCTACTTTGAAGTATTTTGCAAAATTAATTTATCATTCTATACTTTCTAAATAAAATTAAAACCTGTTTATTTTTTGACTATGAGTAAAAGCCTAAAAGAAGCATTTTTTGGAAAAAGTGGTTACAGTTAGAAGTTTTGAACATGAAGTTAAAACTGAGCATTTATCTTATATTTTAGAAAGAAACTAATTTGTCAGAACTAGGCCACCATTACTTATTTCTCAGGAGTGTAAGCACCCATGTTTAAATGACGGCTTTATGATGTCTGATTTATTAATGTTAAAGGAGAGAAAGAGAAAGAGAGGAGGAGGAGAGATTTTAAGAAGGAAAGCTTGGTTTTATATACGAAACTTAAATAGTGGTAGACAACCATGAAATTTGGAGGTAATGGTGCATTGCAGGGGAAAAAACAAACAACAAAAACAAAAAAATAGAACAAAAGACATAAATATAATAATTTAAAGCCACAACGCTAAATGATTTTCTGGCTCTGCAATTTTTTAAGTTAGATAGAACTGGAAGGTGTTTCTGTGTGGAAAGTGTATTTTCACCTACATAATCAAAGAAGCAGCCAACCTCTGGGAATTCTCTTCTGGCCCTTGCTCCTGGCTCATGTCTATACAGCTACTCACTGTGCTCTTTTTGAAGGTCATAGAAATACAAGCCAAGCACATACACACCGCGTTCAAGTCGGTGCTTTCATTTAAACCATTAAAAACCCCAAGCTGATATTAGTGCAATAGGATTATTTTTGCCTTTCATATCCAAAACATCGAACTAGAAATCATTAGTAAGAAAACAGTGCCATTGTAATGATTATCAATGTCTGTCCTTGTCTTATGTAATTGTTGTCATAGCACTGGGCACATCAAAGCTGTTTACTCATAGGAGTGTCATAGCTTCTGAATGGAGAAAATATTTTTGTCTGTAAAGCCTTCTTTTTGTTCATTTGCAAAGTGGTAATTCAACCCTACACTGTTGGGGATACCTCAGCAGAATGTTTCATGGGGTTGCTGCTTTCACTCCTCTTAGAATTTGTCAAACCCATAGAAGCCTCACAACAGATAAACACAAGGTTTTTTGTGATTCAGTTAGACACCCGTAGTTTACAAAAGGTGTCCCTTAACTTGACTAAAGGACTAATTTTCTTTCCTTTGAAATCAATGTATTATGTGTAGGAGCAATTAAATGTAGTGAGGAAATTAAAACAGATGTTTCACTTTAGAGTCTAGGGGTTGATTTTTGTCTAGTTATTTTGTTCTGTTTTGATTTTGGTTTGTTTGTTTTTTTAGCTTTACCATTTTTTCCATTGCTAACTATTTTAGCAAAAACTCAATTCCATCCTACAAACACTTATGGAACATTTGTATTTTGTATCATCAAATATTGAAGGGAAAAAGATAGAGAAATAGCAGGTTGTAAGCCAATGTCAGCTTTGAATTACATCCTTAGTTCAAAACTGTAGATTTATCTTTTCTCAGTTTGCCTCACCAACTAATTGATGTTGAAAAGGAACAAAAGGAAGATAAAACTTGAGTCCTTATGGGGTTATAGTAAAAATCCTTAGAAAAGATAGTTTAAAAAAGAACTCTCTGTGGGAGAGAGACAGCTCTGAGAACGGCAGTCAAGATGAAAGAAAGCTTTTTGAATCTGCCACTGAACCAATTCAGAATTCTGGAACCCAGTCAAAAGAGCTACTAATAGGTCACCGGAGAAGGGATGAGACCACACAAAATTCTTTAGGTGCACTTTCAGAAAATGAGCTCTGTGCGGCAAGCGGTATCAATCAGGAGGTTTCGTCATGGGATATATTACTATGCGGTTGAATCCATTCTGTGCTGCTTCTTTGAAAAGATATAAGCATGCCCTTTGGAAGTATGTGATCTTTGAGAATTAGCAGCAGAAATCTGACCGAGTTACAGGAGGCAAATTACATGAGCAACTCCAGTGAGACAATAGGATTTAGAAGGAAACTTTATATTATTTAATGTTTGTATTTAAGAAAGTTAACGAAGGACTAGGCTTTGGTATTGATTCCAGGTAGGAATTGACAAAACAAGTAGGATTATTGGAGCCTTCTTTTTTGTGTATTTAGAAAGGGCTAAAAGAAGAGACTTCTGATATTGATGAAGAAAACAAATTAAATCTAAAGAATCATAACATCTGCCTTTCTCTATAAAATGATTCTCAGCAGAATGCACAGTATCTTAGATACTGATGCCAAGGCCAGTGAAATCCCACAGTATTTCCTGATATCATATTAAAAAGCATCTTCTTTTCTTTTAGAAAAAAGTTTGCTCAGTTGCTTGAATCAATTTTGTAATGTGCACTATAAAATTGTTTGAATCTCTTTGTCCAGATGGATATGGGATGGAGTAGGGTTGATAGGATGGATGAATTCATAGGCATTCATTCATAGGTAGGATGGATAAATTCATACATTGCCATTCATAAGGTATGGAGGGATTGCTTTTCATTGTATCTTATCCTTTTTATGCAGCAAAGTCAAATTCAATAAATTTTCATTCAGTGCCTAGAAAGTGGCACACCCTGCTAGGCACTGTGAGGGGTACAAAGATGAGTAAGAGATGATCTGTATCCCGTTTCTCACCATTTAGTGGAGAGATACTAAGTCCATGATTCTATGAGAAGGCTGATGCATAGGTCTTGCAATAGAGTATAAATTAAAAACTGGTCTTGAGGCTGGCCGAGTGGCACATTGGTTAGGAGTTGGCTTAGGACACCAGCTCTGAGCAGCAGGACCCCAGTTCAGATCCCACATGAGGGCCAGTGACACTGCACCCTCTATAGCTAAGATGGTGAGCAACAGCTCGACCTAGAGCTGGGCTGCCATGAGTCACCGGCAAAGGTGTAGGCTGCAGTGGCGCTGGCCAGCAGCTGGCCGGCAGCTGGCGTGCGCTTTGGTGAGCTGCCTTGAGCCACCGTGAGCGACCGTCCAATGGCCAGCAAGTGACTGCCTCAGCTGGGAAGAGTGCAATGATAATACCAACATGGGCCAGTGAAACAATGTCCTTCACAACTAGACTGAAGAACAAAAGAACAGCAACTTGTCTGTTTCCCTCCCCCAATTCCCTAATAAAATTCCTAAAAAAAAAAAAAAAACTGGTTTTGACTAAAGGAGTTTCTTATACCAGGGATCTGTGCTTATGTGTACATGTCTTCACTGAAGAGGGAATACCTCATAATCTGGAGCTGTGTTCTGCATCTCTATTCCACCATCCTTTTTAGTACTCCAACCGGTACCTTGCACAGAGTAAGCACTTGATCAGGATAGTTCTTAAAGTCCAATTTGTGAGTTGCTCAACTTTGATGGCTGTGATGAAAAATTAGTAGGTGCTGAAACTTTATCTTAGGAAATTATTCTGTTAAACATTGTTATACTTCCTTCCTCAGATAAGTAGAAACAAAAGGGTACAGATTTCAAGGGTTTAGTCAAAATGTAACTGGAATAAGAGAACTTTTTCCTGGGTCTTGATTAGGAGCAGAACAGAGGTTGGCAAATTTTTCTGTGATGTCCAGAGAGTAAATAATTTTGCAGGCTGTACAGTCTCTGTCACAGCTGTTCAATGTTGCCAGTATAACATGGAAGCAACCACAGACAAAAGTAAATAAATGAATGTGACTATGTTAAAAAAAAACTTTGCTTCCAAAACCAGACAAGGGCAGAATTTGGCTCATGGGCCATAGTTTGCCAACGCTTTACCTAGAATGATGTGATTAATTAAACTTCTCTCGAAATAGAGCAATTATATTAAGAATAGTGAGCCTCTATTTCTATGATTGAAATTTATGAAGAAATAACTCGATTAGAGATACAGCTCTGCTTCTGATGTAATTACATCAGGGAATGGCCAAGTGAAGAACAAGCTTGCTTCTGGTAGACAGAGGTAAGGGGAGAAACAAATGCGACCAGTAAAGGACTAATATTATTGCTATGACATTTCAAGAAAAGTCTAATCTCATGGATTAAGAAAACTGCTCTTTAGCTGGACTGCCTAGCTCTGCCACTTGGGCATTTACTTAACATCTCTGTGCCTCAGTTTCTGTAAAATGGAATAATATTAATAATAATAACACCAAAGACATCAAGGAGTTGTTATAAGGACTTGAGAGAGTTAACACATTTAATGTGCTTACAAGTGTTTGGCAAATGGAAACATGAAATAAGTGCTAAGTATATTATTCAGATAATGCCTGGTAAGAACTCTTGGGAATTAGGGGCCCAGGATACTCTATTTTTGTTTAATAGGTTTCATTAACATTACATCCATTTGATAGACATATCCACCCAGGGAAAGAATAATTAGACTATCAGAAATCCTGGAGTCAGGAATGCGACAGGAGTGGGATAGGCAATTGGTGCAAGTTCTGTGGGGCTTCTCTGTTTGCCATCCTTCCACTGACCAACTAGCTTGCCCTATCCACATCCTAAATACACATTACTGCCCATGTGATCATTGTTACTCTGTGTCTTTAAATCATGTGCGACTGCCGCTAAGGCTGTTACTGGTTGCTACTACTATATAGAAATACAAACCTTTAAGGAGAGCCAGGAAGCAGGAGTGCTGCAACTGCACCCAAAACATGTGTGTTTAATAGAGAACTAAATGCAGGTGCAGAGAGCAGTCTTTTTTTTGTCTTTTTTAGTTTCAAGTATACAAAACAATGTAATAGTTATTTACACCCCTCACAAAGTGATAACCCCTCCCCCAATCCACTACCTCTCTGACAGTGTATATATCTATTACAATACCATTGACTCTATTCCCTACTGTACTCCACATCCCATGACCATATATATATATATATATATATATATATATATATATATATATATATATATATAT